AGGAAGCCAAGAAAGCACAGAGATGGCGGATACAAACAGCAAGGCATTTGTCAAGCGTTGGTTTTGGGATGCTGCTCGGTTTTGCTGTTGTAAAGTAATGTTTCTCATTCGAACTTTTCTCCATATACTGATGTTGCATGCACAAACGATGAATAGAAAACTCAAGGGAAATGACATCCAAGACAAGGTAGCCGCTTTAAATGAATTGTACTCATAAAAGAGAACGGCTATTATTGAAACAAGAATAGCCAGTGACCAGACCGTAAAAATAACAATACCATATGTTCGCATTGACAGTGTTTTGTGCTTAAGTGGCCAAAAGACGGCATAAAATCTTTCACAGGATATAAAACCTGCTGAAATTAGCGAGGACTGTGAAAAGGTGGTGTCAAGAAAATAAAAAATAGACTTATGTGCCGCCTTTGCAGTCCACAGCTGATAGTCGGGCCCTACAATCAAATAAACACACGCGAGAAAAGGCGACACGCGGCGGAGTTAAATTATGCAAATAATGGGTAAAGGAGAGACTGGGGCGAAGAGAGGCTCTTATTTTTTCTTCGCTCGAGTTTCCACCCTCGTTCCTCACCGCTCGCCCCTCACGTGTGCTCTGTGCTCTCGCTCTTGTTTTGTTTATTTATTTATTTTTTGTTTTATCAACTTTATTGGTCTGAGTCTCTCTAAATACCAAAAGGTAAGGTGCAAACGGTACCTGGAGTCCCATGCAGGGCACCTCCAAACTAAATCAGTAAATATCTTAAGAAATGCTTATTAAACTATTGCTGCCAGTGGCACCCACAATTACGTGCCAGACCCCATGAACATGGTTTATCGAGGTAAAAAGATTGTGACTCAAAAGAAAAATAACACACTGCTCGCCGTCTATCTTGATCTTACGGTAGGAACTTTAGAAGATTCAACCCTTTCCAATAGGAATACCTCTACATTGTAACAATGAGGACTCTTGGCTCTGTTCCTTTCGTATACAAACTAGGAATGCCTGTGTACAGGTATCATACTGTTTTTACTTTGTTCCTTGTTGAATAGGAGACTTCAAGCGGAAGGTTTAAACGTCTGACATCAAGTCTCCTAGACATCTCGTTTTCTCCTGGGGGTCCAAGCTCTTCATAAAATATCGAATAGTTTTCTATACGATAAACCCTACACAAGGGTGGTGATTATGATGATATAAACTTAAGAACGGATCAGCAGTATATACATCGACTACAAAACTAATGATACCAGTGAGGTCTTTGAGAGCGCTCAGTTATCTTATAGTTCTAAAGCTCTATATTTGCGAAAACATTCCTGCCTTTATCGTCCAATTGTCGAATTCAAAATGAGTTCATTTTTTAAAAATCTTTACTAGGGTCTCCATCTAACGTCTCCGACACCGTGGAACTGTCTTTTCAGCGAATGTGGATCCGCCCAACCTGAGTTGAGGTAGCTATCATCTTCATCTGCTTCAAGTTTCTGTAAACGCAAAGCAAGAGCTTGTTACGCCATAAACAAAAACATAAGCTTGTTGAGCCCCAGAAAATTATTATGGTGTAACATACATGTAACAATGTGGAAAGGACAAGTCTCCTTTAGGACCGAAAAAGAAATTCCAGGGGTACCAATCATAACATCAGAATCAATGTGCGTTCGATCTTGTTTCCTTTACTTTCTCCATAGCCCCCAAGTAGTATAGAGGAAATCAAGGCAGCTGCCACAGTAAAAGTATTAAAGTATCTTGTGTGTGCGTTAAGCAAAAACGGGGCTATACATAATGTTTCTCATGATATTGCCCCGGTAAGAATTTTCGACTAGATTTCCCTAGGCGTGAGACGTGTTACTAGATGGACGAGGCCATTGACATTCTTGTTTCCCAGACATATATACAATCATGAAAAAAAAAAAAAGGAAAATGTTTCTAAATTTTAATAGTGTACAATGTACACGTAGTATGGAAGAAGTACTGTGATCGAACTTGATGCATAGTGATTTTTATTCTGTAAATATGTGACGTTTAGCTTGCTCATGGCTTAGAGTTCATGTTATTGTTATTATTATTATTATTATTATTATTATTATTATTATTATGTTATTATTAGTTTAAATTTGATGGCTTTTATTATAAGTATATAAACGGAGGCTTCGCTTTTAGCGCTGGATAAATCTATATACTATTAAACACCTTAAGTTCCTCTTGTTTTCTGTAAGCATAAGCCATCATTTGTTTTCTCTGTTCTTCACTGAACACTGGTTCTCTACCGGGTGGACCCTGCCCCTTCTGCAAACAAGAAAACCCCACAAGGTTATGGTTAGTCAGGGGTAACAGCACGGATTGTGTGTGTAGCTTGGAGTTTTTTGGTCAGGAGCGCTGTGAAGCAACGAGAGTACCGCAAATGATCGATTTAGCGCCGCTACGTGAATAAGCGCCGCGGCGCTAATTTGGGTATTTACAAATTAACGCTTCATCAAAACCATATCGCTCAAGAAATAAGACTTCGACCAACTCGTGAGTGGTCAAGTTTTAACATGTAGGGAAACTCTCGAAACCGGGTTCATATAACAGTTCGACTCTGTGCATACCTAGTAAGCGCCCCACTTAATTTTCTCTATATTCCCCTCAGTGTTTTACCCGTAGTTGAAATAAGCGCCGCACCTATAACAGGGAAAATGAAAGTCAAATACTGTAACTTTACATCCAATCTTTGTCACCAAATTATTTTCTTTTCCCCAGAAGGTTAGAATCATCAGGATTTCACTATATTACTTTCCCTCTGTCTCTCTGACTTGCTTCACCTTTTGAAGCTTGCATATGAGTTTAGTCTTCTCGTTCTTTCCAATGAAGTCTTGAAGTTTTTTTCCTCGCTGAAGTTCCTTTCCTGCCCACCACAGCTGGGTAGAGTTTTCATCTAACACATGAAGGTAAGCCTAAACAACACCACAGTGATTTAAATTAACCATTTCAGTTTCAAGAGTGACCAAAATCCATTTTCTCTTTTCACTTCCAATACATAATCAAGAAAAAAGGTTATGGGATTTAATGTAAAAAAAATTCTCTCTAGTCGCCCCATGCAGGGAAATCCGGGAAAATTTTACATGTGGAATCCGGAATAATTTGTGAGCTTTGGAATCCAGAATACACCTCAAGGAATCTGGAATTGCACTAATGATTGAAATCCTGAAATCCACAATACAGGTTCCACTTACAAAGACTGGAAACCAGTACCTGGAATCTGGAATCCGTGGCATGGAATCCAGAATTCAAGACTGTCTTGGATTCCCATACACGGGGCGACTCTAGTAATAGGCCATTTGCACGTTGGCGTCATTTTACTACTACACTTTACAACAACCAGAATCCTTCAGGGTATTGCTTTCTTCTACAAATTACCAGTAAGGCTCTTGTATTTAAAACTCATGGGGATTACCAATTTTGAATATGAAACGAAAAACAAAATGAATTCTGGTCTTAGGAGTAAAAAGATGTCATTGTGCAAATGCCTATTCTTTGGAGAAATGTATGAAGAACAGTCTAGAGAATTTGAATGTCGATATTTTGGGTCTTAAAGGGTATTTTTATGATTCATAAAAGATTTTTTCTGTGAAGTGAGGAGTTGGACTTTGTTTATCATTGAGATTTGTAACACATATTTTCAAAGGCTGTGAACTGTAGCTTTGAGGTAACTGTAGCCAACCTGCGTGTATCACTGGCCATTTAACAGTTACTGTTACGATTAAGTCACCTTTGCTTTCAACTCATTTACCACATACAGTGTACAATGTATGTAAATTTCTGCAACAAAAATTATTTTCTTCTTTCCTGTTACTTTCAACCTCACCTGTGTACCTGATAAATCTTCTGTGTTTTCCAGTTCTTGTCGGACTGGATCATGTGGAGGAAGACCCATGGGATACACAATCATCACAGCACCTTTCATCTGATCAAGGGCATCTTTTACTACCTCATGGGTCAGAGCTATATTTTTATCCACTTGTTCCTGCGGTGAAATTCATGAATAATTTTAGCCCTTCTTTTTCTTACAGACACTTCAAACCTATGATAGAAGCTCAAGGGGTGAATATTAAAATAAAATTATACCCACTGTGGCCACTGCATTGAAGTACATGTAAGCCTTGACAATATCACTAGCTTTTTAGATCAGGGTAATAGCATGACTAACATCTGATACAGTGTATAAACATACCTTGGCAATTTTGGCTTTTGCTTCTTCTCTAGTCCTGTTAATCACTTCTGCCATTTTCTCACTTGGGGCTGAAATAAAGACAACATTTACCGAAAATTATTTCGAGCTCTGAGGTGGTTGCTTATGGGATGTGGTCGCACATGGAGGTTCAACTGTAATTACAGTTTTCACAAAGAAAAAGACAACATGATCAGTTCTTGCCAACTGGGAAAATAGTAATAATAATAGTAAATGTACATTATGTAGTTCTCACAACTTCCCATATGATATTATACTAGTAATAATTACCAAAGGTTTATAGAGAGTGCAGGTGACAACGATCAAAGGTGCTTTGCATAAGTCTCACGAGACAGATGGTCAAAAGAGCATGATCAGATTGCGAGTGATAGAAGGTCCAAACATGCATGATCAAATATTGTTCTGTACATCTGGAAGTCCAAACAAATGCTGGCTACATACATGCAACGCATGTGTAATAACAACCTGGATATTAGGACTGGGGGCTCCTCTTGTTGCCCGCAATAATTGTATGTACAATACTATTAAAATACATGTGAAAATAACATTGCATAAAGGATAATTTAACAGCCCATGCAGTCAAAATAAACTGGAAGCCTGCAATTTTGCTGTTTTAAGTGGAATAGTTGCCGCCTACTTAACATTTAGGTTTCCACAAGTTTAGGCCTTTGCCGCCTGCTACATGTTCTCTGGTTATCCTGCCTACAATGTACAAATGTACTATAGCTGTGAAACATTTTGATTGAGATGTATCAAAACTAGGAAAGTTATTTTCAATCAAGCATCAGTATCAAATAAAGACTTAAAACAAGACTTATTAAAAAACTAATTGAAATATGAATAGTCTATATGAAAACGTTTAAAGGCTATCAAAAAGAGTTTCAGCAGCAGTTATAAGATTAGTGTCAAGTGACTTCAGATTACGGGAAGCAGTCACAGTGTACATGTAATATTGCATTTCAGAGACTAGGTCCAGCTGACAAGATTGCATGTGATCACCCAGTGTATGGATTGTACATCATGTACATGTACATGATCACATTGCTACAGTGTAAGTGGTACAAGTAATGTACCTGACATAGCTTCATTTGATATAGAGAGTGCCTATATTGCCTTCTAATGGTGAAATTAAAATTGATTAGGTTATTAGGGGCTTGACCATATAACATGGGACAGGTGCTTACATGTCAAGATAACATATACATGTGGAATACTGTGGTACACGTAACTTCTAGAAAGCCAATGAAGGCAGCAAGGGCCAGTATATTGTGAATCATTAGCCTAGGTGAACCTATCACTTGCTGAGAAAGTTCAGAAGCTGTTGAAATAATCCACCCTGCTTATTAAAGATATTGAAGAGAACTTCAACAAGTACATTTAATGCATTAGGTAAACAAAATGTAAATAGAACAAAAGTAAGAAATAATTTCACCTTTGCCATTTCTTTTTCCAAGTGGATCCCTGTTTTCAGTGACACCTCCACTGGGGATGCATTCATCTTCCCAGTCATTGTGAAGATTCAGTTCAGAGATCTGTTCTTCAGCAAGGCCCTGCATGTTGGGTGGCAATGAAATGCCATGCTTTGCAAGCTCCTCCATTTCTATTATAAAAGATTGGGTTGTTGAGTCACATGCAAAGAAAGTAGTATCCAAAAGCCCGGGGCTAGTGGATTTTGCTCTCGGGCTAGTGAATTCTGTTGTTAAGTTGCCTGACAGGCAAGTGATGTTTTTTGAGCAATTCGAATATTAAACAGAAGAACTATGAAATCAATTCTGCTCGTCAAAAAACGTCTGGGGCTAGTTGAAATGACGTCTGGGCTTGTAAATGCTAGCTTCAGCTTGCCCAAATGGTAAGCTGTAAAAATGATTTTCTTAGCACACTGCTGTTTGTATATTGTGATATTACTAGAAACACCAAACAATGGAAGGAACTCCATCTTACTGACAGAAACTATTAGTTAGTAACCATTGAACTCAGAATAAACTTTGTTGGGATTCAGCTATTACTGTTGCAGGCTCACAAACCTGGTTTTGGTCAATATTATGGAATCAAGCGATTTTTAAATCAATTACGGTACCAACTGACATGCCAAAATTAATATATTGTACCTCACTACATTAATCTTTATCAGGGTATATGAAAAGGGCATTTACATGGGGGTTGAAAATAGCATATTGTACTCTTTGCCCTCTTGTACCAGAGTATTAATTTGTATATAATTTGATTCTAATAGCATTTTAACAGGAAGGAAGGGGTGGAAGGGGGGTTGATGGACCCATCCCAGAGTTTTTGATATGTTGCAGTATTTCGAAACGAATTTGCCTTTGGTAGAAAGCCTTTGATCTTCTCAACAAGATGAGGTATATTTTATTGGTGGTGGCACTGCTGGGGGCCTGTGACATCACCAACACAACAATGGATTCATCGACTACAGCACAGGGAAACTTTGGCAGCAGTCATTTTACATGTACTTAAATCAAATATAGATTCATGACTAACAGCTGTTTGAATACTTGATTTATTGGACAATGGAACTGCCAGAGTGTGGAATAAAAACAGATCATTTACTAGATCACTGTGGGATCACGCAAGCAGTTGATTGATATTGCTTTGAGGTGGCCAGAATTATTCTGAAGTTGCTCCAACTTCTGGCAGTGGGCAAATCAGTTTATCTATTTCATTATAATCATTGGAGGCATATTGCAGTAATCTAATGTGGCCAATGAATGGTGTTTGAAAGTTCTGTTCACATGACAGACACTTCATTCATCAATTATCACTAATCACAGAAGACAGAACCTAAGAATTAAGTTTCAAAATACACACTAGAGTATTTCGATAGTCTAGAAAGTTACAAACAGATTCCAGATTGATGACACAAAAGCATCTAAAAATTTACTCTCATATCCCTCCCCACTTGTAAGGGATGTTGGTTTGAGAGAGGGAAGGAGGGACGACGAACAACAGATGTGTAAACTGTGCATTTGTGATGAAAATCGATTTAGAGATGAGTGCTTAATTTCACCGGAATTTTTTCAGTACACATTAGTGACAGAGAAAACTATTAACAGTCCCGTAAACAGGATTGACAGTGTTTCAAGTGTTAAGAATAAAAATAAAAGGTCATCTTAAGCTTACATTTATACTTACCGTAAAATAATCGCTCTATCTTTAGTCGACCATTCTGAATTCGAACTAACTGTGGTATAAGCTCTGAGAGCTCTGCTTGACAAGTTGTTTCGTAAAGAAACAAACTTTCATCGCCTTGTTTCAAGTGTAATTTCAC